AGCAGCTGCACGCGGCGGCCAAACAGAAGGTGGAGGAGAAGGCGGCTTCGGCTCCGGCGGCGACCCCGGCTCCGAGCAGCAGCAGTTCCAGGTGAGAGCCGCTGCGGTCCAGCCCTCCCGAGCCCGGCACCACCCTCCAGAGCCTGGGAACCAGTGAATTCCCAACTCTGTCGCTTGCCATCTGTGCCACTTTATGAAAATTAGCCTCTAAGCCTCCGTTCTCTCGACTAAAAATGGATAAAGTGCCGAGAGAGATTGTGGGAATCAAAGCAGATGAGACTTAGCACAAAGTGGATGCTTGGTGAGCCTTTGATGAGTGAGCGAGTAGGTGTCAGAGGCGCCCAGGAAAATCAGCTCTCCCCCCTCAGAGGGAGCGCAGGTCGCACCGACTACGCAGACGCACAGTGGGAGGAGAGGGGGCGCTACACTATGGTGTTGATTATCCTGCACTCTTCAGAGTTGGTCTAAGATCTGGGGAGATTCTGTGTTCGGCCCTGGGGACTGGCATTTTGCTTCCCACCACTGCCACCACCTCTACTTGCTAGATGTACTTCACATCCATTTAGCAAACATTTACTGAGACCTACTATGTGCCACGCACCCATACAAATACAAAACATCGCTCCTCCCCACAGTAGGGAGGACAAACCTGCAAACATCTTCACCAGAGTCTGATGAGTAATAGACTGGAGGTCAGAGCTGGCTGCTGGGAAGTGTGAGAGGATGCGCGTCTAACTCCTGAGTTAATCAGGTGAGACTGTAGAGAAGGAAGTGTGGGGCTGACAACTGCACCGAATGGGAGTTCAGCTGGACAAGATGAAAGGGGGTGTTCTAGGCAAAGCTAACAGTGCATGCGTGTAAAGGCATGTGGTGTGAAAGAACATGGGATATTGAGGTGTGTGCACGATGGCAGATGAGGTCAGCGAGACAAGAAGGAATCAGAATGCCAAGGGTGTTGTCTGTAATGGGGGCTTTTACACTGTCCCCACTGCAGACGGTGGGGGTCCTCTAAAGGAGTTTTAAGTCAGGATTCTGTTCTGGTCACTCAACATTGCCAGACACTGTTCAAGGTGTTAGGGACACATTGGGGACCAAACACAGAAATCCCTGTCCCCACAGAACTTAAATTATAGTGGATAGGGGACAGCAACTATAAGACAAGTAAAACATGGGAGGATGACAGACGGCAGGAGTGTCTCTAGTGTTCATAAGCAGTTAAGGCCAACATGGAGTGAGGAGTAAAAATAGGAGGTGGAAGCAGAGAGGCAGCAGTGTAGCAGGCACACAGGGCTCCATGAGGTCATCGCCCAGACTTCAGCTTTTACTCTGATGAGATGGGAAGCCACTGGAGAGTCGTGGAGAAAGTTGACACAATCATGCTTACAGTTTTTAAAGAGTCCCTTCGGCTGCACATAGTAGGACCTCTGCATTTTGACAATGCACATAGTAGGATCAAAATGCACATAGTAGGACCTCTGCATTTTGACATTGAACTGCAGGGAAGCAAGAAGTCTTCTAAGCAGTTAGGAGACTATTGAAATCCAGGCTTGGACCAGAGTGACAGCTGTGGAGGTTGTGTGAATGGTTGGACTGATACATTTAGAAAGTAGAACCAAACTATTGAAATAATCCAGGCAAGAGATGATGGTGGCTTGGACCACAGTGACAGCTGTGGAGGTTGCATGAATGGTTGGACTGATACATTTAGAAAGTAGAACCAATATAATCTATTAATGTAAGGTGTGAAAAAGGAGAGGAATGGAGGAACACTCTCAAATTTGGGGCCTAAACAACTTGAAAGATGGCGTTGTTGTTAAGATGGGGAAGACTACAGGAGCTTGGGATTGGGTGGCTAAGGGTTTATTAATGTAAGGTGTGAAAAAAGGAGAGGAATGGAGGAACACTCAAATTTGGGGCCTACACAACTAGAAAGATTGCGTTGTTGTTAAGGTGGGGAAGACTACAGGAGCTTGGGATTGGGTGGCTAAGTTGGAGATGCTTAATGCACATCCAAGTGGAGATACGATGTTGGCTATTAGACATGGAGTTGGGGGACAGCTCTGGGCCACACATGCATGTGGCACACGCACCAGAGATGATGATGAGACAACAAGATCATCAAGAGAGGAAAAGAAGTCCAAGGACTGAACCCTCGAGCCCTTTGACATTTAGAGATTTGGCAGATGAGGAAGCATCAGCAAGAGAGACAGAAGAGAGGTAGTGGAGGCAGCTGATCATGATTCCCATCATTGGTGTTTCTATCTCTCTCCTCCCTTCCTCTCTGAAGTCAATAAAAATACGATCATGATTCTCATCACTGCTGTTTCTATCTCTCTCCTCCTTCCTCTCTGAAGTCAATAAAAATATATTTAAAGAGAGAGAGAGGTAGTGGGGGGAAAACCTGGAGAGATTTTTTTATGTGGTTCAAGGGCAAAGGTCAGTTATGTCAAATGCTGCTGATACGACAGGTTGATAGGCTGAAGACCAACTTGCTCCTGGCATTGTAAGTTGGTCAGTGGCCTTGACTAGAGCATTTTGGTGCGGTGATGGGGGCTGATGTCTGATTGGAGTGGGTTCAAGGAGAACAGAAGACGGGAAGAAACAGCAGGCACAGTCAGTTCTTGAAGGGGGATCTGCTGTCAGGGTCACAGAAATGGCAGTAGCTCAAGGAGGCTTGGGGATCGAGGAGTTTTTGTTTGCTTTTCGGTTGGGGGAAGGCAGCCTCTTGCTGATGGGCGTGATGCGGCCGGAGCGGAACACTGCCGGAGAGATGTCCTTGAGAGGCGAACACACAAGCGGAGCAGCACAACAGGAGAGAATGCAAAGCTCGCGGGCACAGCTGTTTGGTAGTGGGAGCTGGAGGGAACTCTGATTGCTTCTATTTCTCCGTGAAGGCCATCAGCTGTCCGTGAGGAAGCAGGTTTGAGGAGACAAAAGAAGGTATAAAACCGTCATCCGGGAGACTGGAGGGACAGTTGAGGGGGAATGTGCTGTATGATTGCCACGCAGGGCTGAGGGCCCACTTGATGTTAGAAGTCATTAAAATAAAGAATGGCTCTCGACCTGGGGCGATTTTGCCTCCGAGGGGACTTTTAGCAATGTCTGCAGACATTTTTGATTGTCACAACTTGGGGGACATTAGGTAGTGGGGAGAGGTCACAGGCTCAGAGTGGCTGGAGGATGAACCAGGGTTAGGGGTTTGCCAGGAGAGTGCCATGAAGTGGGTAGGGGTCAGGGGGTGGGGATTGAGGGTGTGTGCAAAGGAGTGATTATAATGACTGGCCATATAATTGACTTGAGGTCAGGGCAGAACGGAAGGCATCAGGGGTGTAAGGGAAAGTGAAAAGCTGGTAGGATGAGTGGGATTGAAGAGTTCCCAGTAGAGGAAGCCAGTGGGTGCGCCAGGAGGTGGTGGCCAGCGTGTGATGCTAGGAACCGAGGTTGTGATGGGGTTGCAGGTATGGTCATGACAAGGGCTAGTTACCACGGGAGGAAGTAGCCAGGGTAGGATAGAGGACACAGGTTCACTGGAGAAAAGGAAGTCAAGAAACAGAAGCCAAGGGTTGGAAGGCTCTTACTGAAAACATATGTAATTGTGACAGGAGTAGTGGGCCATGAGCTAGGATCTCTGCATTTTTCTACATTTCTCTTCATTTCTAACATGTCTGTAGCCACAGTTAGAAAACAGGTTCAAGACCCTGAGGCGGGGCCTCCGCCTTTGGGGTGCAGAGCTGCAGCGTGCCCAACGGGAGATTCCAGCGTCTGCCACGTGTGTCAGGGCTGGATTGGCCCAGGGATCAGCAAGTTCTCATGCCTGAGGGACAGCAGCAGGAGTCAGCCCTCCTCGCGGACGCTCAGTGGGGAAAGGCGGCTGATGTCCGTCCGCAGCGTGCAGAAGCGATGCCACATGTGCTGGCCCCGGTCTGTGTCCATCTCTGAGGGTGGCTATGAAGAGGCGGCAGTCCCGTTCCTGCTTCCGTGGGGTGAACCACTAGCTCATTTGTACATTGGTCCTAGGAGGTTTAAAGGCCAATCTTTATCCGTGCCTTCAATTCAATGGCTCAAGTTCCAAGTCCTTCCTCCTTCACAAACCTGTCTTTCTGTATAAGGCATTGCACTGGTACGTTCAGACTTTAGTCAGCTTAATTTTTTAAATTTTTTCACTCCCAAGTCCATAGGGGAAACGATCAATTGGGAAGCGGTGATGTTTTAAACATTAATGTCATCTCAGCCTCATCCATGTGCGCAGGCTGATAAGCCAGGAACCGGCTGAGGTGCTCAGTCATCTCTTAAGATCAGGCCGAGCAGGGAAGAATACACTTGTAACTCCTGTATCACTGCGTTGTTTTGTTTTTTAAAAATATCTCTAGGGAAGGAGGTAGGGCTGAGGGGAGGACTGTTCTCAGATAAGCGTGTATTTTCTAAACCTAAGTCTGTTGAATTTCATGCCGGGAGCGGGTACAGACACAGACCTGATTTGCACGTACAGGCAGGGGGCAACAGCGGGTTTACTCACATCTCAAGGGCTGAGTGACAGCTGCGCGTGTGTGAATAAAAGAGCACAGCGTGATGAGCAACGCTCTGAACAGAGGCAGGTCTCCCAGGCCCAAGGCCTGGCTTCCCAGCGAACCCTGTGTCCCTGTTCCTACCTCAGTTTCTCCATCTGAAAATGAAGAGTACGTCAGAGGATATCTCTAGGATAGCCAGAGAACAGGCTAGGCTGAGACAGCAAAAGATCTTGAACTCGTTGCAGTGTCTGCGCCAGTGTTCCCAGCCCTGGGTTCACCTGGGATTGACCTGGGGCCTTGTAGAGAGAGGATTCCCAGGCCTGCCCATCACAGTAACAGGTGCTTCTGCTGTGCTGACCTAGGATAGCCAGAGAACAGGCTGGGCTGAGATAGCAAAAGATCTTGAACTCCTTGCAGTGTCTGCACCGGTGTTCCCAGCCCTGGGTTCACCTTGGGATTGACCTGGGGCTTTGTAGAGAGAGGATTTCCAGGCCTGCCCATCACAGTAACAGGTGCTTCTGCTGTTCAGAGAGAGAACCATTGGGCTAGGGGTTGCAAACTACATTCCATGGGCCAGATCTGGCCAGTTGCAATAAAGTTTTATTGGGACAGCCACGCCCGTTGATTTACTGTTGTCTACGGCCAGCCGATTTTGCACTACAGTGCCAGAGTTGCGACAGAAACCTCATGGCCAGCAAAGCCTAAAATATTTACTCTCTGGCCCTTTACAGAAAAAGTCTGCTGACCTCTATTCTAAGGGATACTGGATTTTTTATAGTAATGATAAGTATTATTAAAGTTTTTGTTGCCCTTTTTTTAGAGTCAAGATGCCATCTGCAGGTGACGAAATAAGAAATAGAGGTTTAACTATATTTTTAAGTTGCAGAAAGCAGATCCTACAAAGGATTGAAGTGCTGATCGGGTTACACTAGGAGGGACAAGACGGGTGGGAGGATGGGTGGCATCTCTTCTCTTCTAGCAGAGCGAGTAGCTCCTGTGCCTAGTCAGAGAGGCGCTCACACAGGGCGGAGCACCAGGACTGAGAGGAAATGTCGGGGCAGCCACCTCAGGGGCCGGTTGGGGGGCTGCTGTTTTCATCGAGTTTGTCTGTACTGTTGGGTTATTTTTAACTCTCGGATGGATTTCTTTGATTTTAGAAAAATATAAGGACAACTTCACATTAAATGTTCTCATTGCAGCATCTACCCTCCAGTTCCAGGCCAGGAGAGCCCCCTGAGGTGGGCAGGAAAGAAATTTGAGGAGATCCCCATCGCACACATCAAGGCGTCCTACAACAAGTGAGTGGGGAGGGCGCACCTGGGCAGGTCGAGGTGGGTTCCTTTCCCCTCCACAGGGAGGGCACGGTGGCCCTGGGCACCTGCGTGGGTGGAAGCCAGGGTGCCCCTTCCGCTTGGTGGTGCCCGTGCACGTGTTCCCCAGGCCCCCTCCTCTTTCTGGGAAACCAGCTTCTGCCTTTACGACGTTCACTCAGGTTTCATGACAATGTGGAGTGGGTTGGGCATATCCTATCGCTGAGATTTGCTTTCCTACAAAGGGGCCAGGTCAGGGTGCCAGCATGGTGGGTATTGGTGAGGGCCCTCTTCAGGGTGGCAGATGGCCAGCTTCTCGCTGTGCCCTCACGGTGGGAGGGGCGAGGGAGCGCTCTGGAGTCCCTCGTTCGTATAAGGGCACTAATCCCATTCATGAGGGCGCCACCCTCACGACCTAATTGCCTCCTAAAGGCCCCACCTCCAAACACCATACCATTCGGGGTTAGGAATCCAGCATGAATTTGGAGGACACAGACATTCAGTCCATAACAGAGCTCTCTTTATGTGAAGTTTAGGGGATTGCTTCTGACCCTCCCTGGCGCCTCCTGTAAGAGTTCAAAAAGCATTTTACTGGTTAAGTTCAGAGGAAAAGCGGCTGGCTTTTGCTTTGTCACTGGGGCTTGTAAGGACATAGGCTCGCGCTCTCTAAAGTCCCTGAATAGTCCATTTTCCCTTCTGTGCCTCCCCTGCTCTCCCAGCACACAGATCCAGGTGGTCTCTGCCGCCAACCAGCCCCTTGCCCGCACCTCCTGCGGCACCGAGGGGTTCAAGAACGCCAAGAAGGGCACGGGCATCGCGGCACAGACAGCCGGCATAGCTGCCGCAGCGGTAAGTGCGCATGGGTGGGGATGGGTGATGGTAGCCCCTGGGAAGACGTGGTGTGGTGAAAACCTCACACAGGACGCATCTGAGTGTGAACGTGGCAGACCTTCTAGACGCAGATTGGCAGTGTGCCGCTGCTGGCATGTTTATTGAGCATCTACTATATGCCAGACACTTGACACTCATTATCTGGAGTCTTCAGAAGACGCCGGCACTGTCTATGCTTTGAGCCAGTTCACATACAGAGTACAACTTGCTCAGAGTCACGTGGTCGCTTTAGCTCCCTGCTGTGGTCTGGGACCACAGCTTGTGCCCTGGCTGCTGTGGCACAGGCCTCCAGAGGTTCACAGGTGTTTCCTGAAGGAAAACCCTGGCCTTCACGGCCCACTCAGTGCCCCAGACCATTGACTGCTCTGCATTAATGATCCTCGACGTGTACTATTGTCCACCAAGGGGCAGGTCATACCCGTGAAAGACACGTGTCAGTGTTGACAGTAGCTTCTGCGGGGCGGGTTCAGTGACATCTACGTGTTTCCCGGGCTTCCCATCACGATGCCTTTGTAATCAGTGAGGAAAAGTGAACCTTTCACTAAAGATGTCAGATGGTAAGAGGACACTTGCTTAGTGGGTATTGAAGCTCTGCCTGCAGCCCCGGCTCCTCGCCGTCTGAGGTTCTGCGTTCACCCACCTGAGGCACTTCGGAGCGATGGTTAGACACTCCACTAGGTGGCAGTGCTGTCCTGGGCGAAAGAGCGCAGCTGACTCGCAGTCTGTGACTTGAGTGCTGTGCTTGCTGATGTGTGGCCCGCACCGAGGCATCTGTCCTGTCTTCGGCCTGTTTCCACATGGGGGTGCCTTCTCCCTGGAGCTCTTACCCTGCGCCCCGGGGGCAGGAGCTGGAGGAGTGGACGTAGCAGCTCCTGCTGGGCACTAACCACTTGTCGCTCCTTTCCAGAAGGCCACAGCGAAGGGCGTGACCCACATCCGCGTGGTGGTGAAGGGCCTGGGGCCGGGGCGCTTGGTGAGTGAGTGATTCTCCGCACGAGCGCACGTGCTTCCGTAGACCAACGGGGCTGGAGAGCAGGGGGGAGAGTGGAGGGGCCTTGTAGTGGGCTCCCATGAGGGCTGGAGATTTCTGTTGTTGTTATAACCTCCTGCGCTTCTGACACAGCCCAGGCCCCTCAGCTGAGTTCCTCAGACATTCACGGAGCGCCTGCTGTGTGCCAGGCCCGGGAACAGAAAGGTGGTCCCTGGGGACCATCGAAATGGGACGCTCAGCACAGACGAGTGGGGGCACTGGTCGAGCTTGTGCCCCAGGTGCTGGGAGCCCGTCGGGGATGATCAGGGAAGCCCCCCAAAGAGGTGACAACTCTGACTTTTCAAGAATCGCGTGGCATTGTCCAGGTGAGGGGGGACATTCCAGGCAGAGGAAACAACTGCAGAAGTGTGAGCCTGAGGGGTGGAGGGTGTACAGGCAGCCTTTGCCCTGAGGTGGTGGAGCGCAGGTGGAAGCGACAGGTGTGACTACAGTGGGCAGCACTGAACGCCTGGTTAAGGGGCTTGGTTGGAGACCTTTGTGAGTAGGTGTCAAAGCCAGGGAACCTCTCCACTCTCCCCGCTCCCTCCCTCACCCCGACCCTCCACCTCGCTGTCCGAGCCCTGCCTGGGCACTAGGCCATCACTTCCGGCACTGAGCCTTCCTCCTGTTCTCTGCTCCTCCCAGTCTGCCATCCAGGGCCTGACCATGGGGGGCCTGGAAGTGATCTCCATCACAGACAACACCCCCATCCCGCACAACGGCTGCCGCCCCAGGAAGGCTCGCAGGCTCTGACGGGAAGGCCTGGCCCTGAACCTGACCGCAAGGCCCCCCTGCAGGCCTCAGCAAGCACCCATCGGAGCTCCCCGCAGGGGCCGCTGGAGGGCTCAGCAGGAAGGGACGGCTCTGCCTCCTCGCGTGGGGCCCACTTCTGACTGGAGACCCGCCTGCCCAGAAGTGAGGCCATCTTCTCTTGGACACGAGGGGGCTGTGGCCCAGACCCCAACAGTCAATGCTGCCCTGCCCAAAGCAATAAAAGATCTCTACCATCTGCAGTGACTGTGAGGCTTTTGCTTTCAGATTGGCAAACAGTAACCCCCACATGCTCCTGAAAAAGATTGAGATGAAACCCTCGTTTGGAGGGCTGAAATATAAACCAGACACCACTCAGGGAGACCAGCCCCGCCACGAAGGCTGGCCACTAAAGCGGTTCCTGTTTACCTGAAAGCCAGCTGCCGCCCCGCTGCCTCTGCCCTTCTCAGCAGCAGCCTGGGTCCCGAGAACACAGGTGGGCCGTGTGCTCGCACTTCCCGCAGGCGGAGAAGAGGCAGAGCCTAGCTTCGGGCCCGAACGTTGGCACGAGCCAAGTGTTGGCACAGCTTGTGTGGCACGCTTCCTTGTTTCCTGGCAGCGGGTTCTGGATTACTCCTCAGTGCATCTGCAGTTTTGCTTCTGGCGGCTCAAAGCTGGTGGCACAGGCCTGGCTGCATAAGGGGAGCCTCCCCTCCCCTCCACAGGCAAAAAGACAAATACAATGTCTTCCCTTTCAGCCAAGACATCACCTGACCCCAGGTGCCAAAACAAGCCTGTTGAACACTGAAGTACCTGGATGCGGGCAGAATGTCCCTCGGCTTGTCAAGAGAAACCATTTCCAATCGCCCCTGCCTACGCCCTGGCTGACATGTCCATTGCTCAATGGTTGAGTGTCAGCCTATGAACCAGGAGGTCACAGTTCGATTCCCCGTCAGGGCACATGTCTGGGTTATGGGCTTGATCCCCAGTAGGGGGCATGCAGGAGGCAGCCGATCCATGATTCCCTCTCATCATTGATGTTTCTGTCTCTCTCCCTCTCCCTTCCTCTCTGAAATCAATAAAAATATATTTAAGGAAAAAAAGCATGGATCTCTTCCCCAGGGCTCCCTTATTCTTTTCCTCTATTCATTTTTCCTCTGTTCTGGATACACACATTGCTTTTGAAACCCGAGTATTATCAGCCCAAAGAGATAGAGCGGTCACTGCCACAGCAGAAATTGCCCGTTCGACCAGACTGAGCAAACATGGGGGACTGAGCAAACAGGCCGGGCTCTGGGAACAAACAGCTGTGACTGTCACTACTCCCCTCAGGCCCCCGGTCGAAGGAACGGACACCATGTGGCCGAGTCAGGGAGAGAAGGTCCATGGAGGAGGCATGAGTGCTACAGGTGTTAGAGTGAAAGATGCTCCCCGCGGTGGAAGGGCTGGAAGGGAAGGTTTGTGCAGGCGAGACAGCCAAATGGAACCACGGGTGTCCTTAGGGTTGGAAATGCAAACCATGCAGATGCCCGATCTTATTAGGGAATTAAAATGCATGACCATCATTCCCCAAACGATGTTAACGAAGCGAAGCCAGGGTGGGGGTGAGCTTGCTCAGGAAAAAAGCAGACAGTGAGGAAAAGGATTGAGTTGTAAACGCTGCAAGGATGAGACGGCCAAGGACAAGGGGTGGGGCGATTACAGATTGCAGGTGCGGGGCCTCGGAAGCCAGAGGGACAAGCACTTCAAGAAGGAAGGGGCAGCCCTAGCCAGTGTGGCTCAGTGGATACAGCATCGGCCTGCGGCCTGACGGGTCTCAGGTTTGATTCCACTCAGGGCACATGCCCGGGTTGCGGGCTCAATCCCCAGTAGGGGGCATGCAGGAGGCAGTTGATCCATGATTCTCTCTCATCATTGCTGTTTCTCTCCCTCTTCCTTCCTCTCTGAAATCAATAAAAATAGATTTTAAAAAAGAAGGAAGGAAGGGACACAGTGCAGACTGCACCAAGATGAGGACCAGGCAGTGCCCGCGGGATCTGGCAACGTGGACGTCACTATTCACCAAAGGGAGGGGAGGTGGAGGGTGGGAAGTGAGGAGATGGAGACTGGCTGTGTCGCGGTGACAGGGAACACAGGAGACGGCACTCTCCCCTGACAGGGCCCCCTGACAGGGCGGGCATGAGCCAGGGTGCCAAGGGCCCTGGACCTGGGGGAGGAGAGGGACGAGGCTGTGAACGAGTGGGGGAGAAGCAACCGCAGCGAGGTGGTGGGGGGGCAGGCCTCACTCAGACACAGCGGTGCGGGGCTCCCCGAGACAGGTGTGCCCCTTGTACGCCGAGAACAGCGGTGTCCGCAGTGTGGGCAGCGACCACAGAAACACAATGTCCCTGCATCAGTACTCAGGGACCGTTTCTACCCCCCCCCCCCCCCCCCCCACATTCCATGTAATTGTTCTGGATTGAAAGTGCTCTCCCTGTCTGAGCTCTGCCTGGGGGACATAAACAGTGAGGGCCTCTTCACAGGGAAACCTGGCAGCTGTCCACACTCAGGCTCCTGATTCCCTCCTGGGAACGCACCCTGCAGAGCAGCGTGTTCAGGAAAATCCTGCCCCACGGAAGTGCTCAGTCCCTGACCCCCCGCACTTGAGATGAGGAACTGGCCTTGCAGTTTCATTCATTCAAGTTCATTGAGACGGAAACAGCAACATGTGGCTGGCAGCTGGCAGCCCAGCTATTCTCTCCCGTGTGCAGCAAGTATGCAAAGGTGCGTATTCACTGAGAACTACGGTCAACTGGAACCTAAATGTCCCTCAGCGGGGGCTGGTTAAAGAAATTACGTCCCAACCATATAATGGAATGTTCGCCCGGACACAAGTCAGGACG